TTTGTTGGCCACACCTGGCAGTGCTCAGGACTTACTCCTAGCTCTGTGCTCAGCAGTCATTCCTGCCAGTGCTCAGGGGCCATAGGTGGTGCTGAGAATTCAACCAGAGTAAGCCCCAGTGTCTTTTTATTTTATATTTCTTTTACAGTATTTCTTAGTTTGATGCTTTCCAGTTTCACGAATGCTTTTTCAACATGACATAGTTGATGTGCTTACCTCTTCTTTTCTCAGTCAATGAGTTTTATTATTAAAGACCCCCCTGGGGTCAGTATTGTCAGGAGCCCTCCCTGCCATTTTCTTGGTGTGTTTTATAGATATAGGTTTGATAAGAAGGTCTTTAATCCATTTTGAATTAATCTTTCTGTACAGCCTAAGAAGGGTTCTAATTTCATTTTTTTCCCATATGACTATCCAGTTTTCCCATCATCCTTTGTTGAAGATACTCTCCTTCCTCCACTTCACGCACCGTGCCCTGATGCTGGAGATTAACTGTCCGTATGCCTCTGGGTACCCAGTCCTGTTCCACTGACCAGAGAGTCTGTCTCTGTTCCAATTTCGGGCAGTTTGGGGGCTTTGTCGCGTGTGTGTGTGTGTGTGTGTGTGTGTGTGTGTGTGTGTGTTTGGGTATCTGATCATCACCCAGAAGATGCTCAGAGCTTACTCCTGCTCTGTGATCATGGATCACTCCCGGAAAACTCAGGTGGCCATATGCAGCACTAGAGATTGAATCCGGATCTGCCGTATGCAAGACAAATGCCAGACCCACTGTGCTCGCCAACCCACTGCAACTATTTTGTGTAAATATCAAGACTTTACCTGTTTGACTCCAGAATTGTCACTTGCATAAAGTTTCAAAAACAATGACTGTAGGTTCAGTTTTGTGTTCATCACAGAGATTTCATAACAATATAATATTATCACCTATTTAAGTAGCCAACAATAATAAATTGATTAAATCAATCACCGACCATCCCTACAGTGAAATTTTATGAAACCAATACATATAAAAAAGACTATGTGACAGTATATAAAAAGTACTAATAATAGATCACTAAGCAAACAAAAAATAAAACCTAATTGCAAACTGTTGTATCATGTGTGTCTTCAAAACTACTGGAATTACAAGTGATCACTTATATTTACTTTGACACAAATTGAAACACTTTACAGAGTAAGTTCTTGGACACAATATGTGCAATTCAAAAATATTCTTTTCAGGGACAAGAGAAATAGTAAGAGGTAAGACACTTGTATTGCAAGCAGATACTGGCTCAATACAGTATCTACCAGAGGTTAGCCTGCAATAGCGCCTCAACACTGCCTGGTTTGCCTCACCCCTTCCCACACACACATACCCGCCCCCCCACCACCACTCCACACTCCCAATTATTTGTCATCAGTTCAACAATGTCCACTAGAGCATTTATGATTTTACTCATGACTGGTCTTTCTTTTATATTTTCTTCATATCCCATATCATCTAGAAAGTTTTTCTGTAAACAATTTTGAGGATTGTCTTGATTCTGTCTTGAAAGGGACTGGTTATTTTCATATTGTCACTTAAATAGAAAAACTCACTCCTGGCTTTCTCCATCTTGGGAATTACAATCTAAAGTTCCATTGAAAAATAGTCTCAGTAATATTTCTCAAAAGCCTGTTATCCAGGATAGAAAATAAATAATTATAGTGTTTTCCTGGTTTTTATTCTGTTTTGGCAGAGTTATAAATTCTTTCTTCCCACATCACGTATGAAGCATACTCTATGAACAGAGTACACGTGTTTGGAGTAGACTATTTTAACAGGAGTAGAGGCCAAGCACACATGATTTACTTGGTAGAGAGCACATGCCTTGTATATGAGAGGCCCTGGGTTTGATCCCTTACAAGTATCTCCGCACAGTACCACCAGGTGTGACCCAGGGTCTCTAAGTACAGCACAAGTCGCCTCCCCTCCCAAATAAATAATGAAGAAAAAGAGAAGGATCAATGGCATATACTTAATCTGAGGGACAAACATAGAAGCCACATTATACTTTCAAAATAAATACAAATCGACATTTTCTAACTGCATCAAAGTGCTGAGAGAATAGAATATTATTCGAGGAAATGACTAATGAGGGGAATGATTCTCTTTCTTAGGCAAACTGAATCAGAGTAGAATTATTGGGCACTTGATGACAATAGTGTAAAATCGTCCCTGAGTCAGTGTACTTTGAGGATGGAGTAAAAGTACTCAGATGGATTAAGGGGAATCAGAAGGTTTGTGTTTTCCAAAACACTTTAGCGATTTATCCACTTAAAAGATGAATTCCAAAATATTAGATGGTGAGCAGTTAGTCATTGATAACAAACAGAATTATAATTGAAAACAAAGAACAGGGCAGGAAGAAAGGAAAACAGTGCCATTAGAAATCTGTTCTAAACGCTTAATCGGTGACACTAAACTGAGCTTGTACAAAGGATTTTAAAATATAATCCTTGATTGTAATTGCAAAATTAAGAAGTATTATGAATTGATTTGACAGAGCTATAGATTGTAAATTATGACCCAGATACATAAAACGAGAGTAAAGAAAGCATTTGACAGGGTGAATTAACTTTGACTCATTCTTTGAGTCAATACCAATAGATCCCTCCTACCACTAACCGACTTTAAATTTAGACAAGTTCCTTAACAGTTTTAAGCTCCATTTTTATTATCTATAATCAGATGAGAATAATAATGCTTGCTAGGGAGAAGTTTTGAAAGAATTTAATAAGATAAATTATATAGATCTGGTACAGAGAAATCACTAAAGAAATGTTGGTCATTGTGATAAGAATAATAGCTACTGATACTGTTTCATATAGTATATTTGCCCAGCAAACATGTATTTGTGTGGGATACTGCCAAAACTGAGTAAAGAAAAATCAACAAAGGGCTGAGAGTGGTGCTCTGACTTTGAATGAGGCAGAAAGAGAGAGACAGAGAGAGACAGAAAGAGACAGAGAGACAGGAGAGAGGGAGAGAGAGAGAGAGAGAGAGAGAGAGAGAGAGAGAGAGAGAGAGAGAGAGAGAGCTACCTTCAGGGAACTCACAGTCTGTGCTCCCTGTAGAGCAGAGGTTCCCAGTATAATCACCCCTTTCCAGAAGAAAGGGGGAAAAAAGGGATTCAACACACTACTAAAAGAACAAGCAGGAAGTGTCCCCCCAGTTGCACCCAAAGCTACTACCAGCATCGCCCCCATCATTCTAATAGCCCTGCCCCTGAGGCGGATCACCCACTCTGGGAAACTCTTTGAGGAAGCAGATGTGCGTGATGAACTGTAAGACTGTAAGAACTGTAAGACGATAACTTGTATGGGAAGGACTTTTGCAGTTGAAAATGTAGAAAACAGTGGCCTCTCAGTGCTATGGCACTGTCCATGGGCAAGTGCTAGGCTATCATTTTATCCCACGTTGATCAGTTTTTTTAATACTCAAAAATAATTTTCATTGGAGCAATAGCACAGTGGTAGGGCATTTGCCTTGCATGCAGCCAACCTGGCCCACCCGAGTTCAATTGCTCTGCCCTTCTCAGAGAGCCCGGCAAGCTACTGAGAGTATCTTGCCCGTACGGCAAAGCCTGGCAAGCTCCCCATGATGTATTCAATATGCCAAACACAGTAACAGCAAGTCTCAAAATGGAGACATTACTGGGCCTGCTCGAGCAAATCAATGAACAATGGGAGGACAGTGTGTGGACAGTGGACTGTGATTTATCAACTTATTTGTAGCTGAGTTTCTGGCCTACAGTGTTTCAGTGCCAATCCCGCCACCAATGTCAGCTTCTCTCCACCATTGTCCCCAGGATCCCTCCCAACCCACAGTCTGCCACCTTCATAGACACATTTTTAAGTTTGGTTATTTTCATTTGGATATTATGCTGTCAGTGTTGTTGACTCTGTGGTTTAGATATATAGCTATACCATCCCTCTACACCCCCGATGTACCCTTGATACCTGCCCTCTCTATCTCTCATCTACCTCTTCTTCCATCTTCTGTTTCTTTCCTTCCCCATTCTCCTTGCTAATACTCTGGGGTCAAGGATGATCTTGGCATCCCATCCTTAGCACCTTGCGTTTGCTAGTCCAGTGCTGCAGGTAGGTGAGTTCATCCTGTGTCTGTCCTTCTGGTTTATTTCTTTTAGCATGCTATATCTTCCAGTTCCATCCAAGTTACAGAAATTTTTGCATGATTTCATAGTTCCTTAAAACTGTATATTAATGCTACATTTTTATCTGAGTTCTAACAATGCATAGTACAGATCTATCCTTTCCCAGTCATTCCCGTTCCAAGAGGTAACCACTATTCTGATTCCTGTCACCATAGATAAATTTCCTCTTTTGAGCTTCTGTGAAAGAAGCTTTCGTTCAGTGTTTCGATTCTTACGTGAAGTAAACGGGAGAATAGGAAGAACAGTGCCAAGATAATAAGTTTCTAAACATTAACACAGTTTTACCAATGAGCATGTTCTCCTATATCTCCAAATCAGATCACCTTACATAAGCTATGCAATATCTTGTAAGAATGCAAAGGAACCTAGAGTTTGATTGGTAAAACGGCTGGGGCATGTTGGTTATCACAAATTCGAAAGCAGATTCCACAGTGATCTCAAGGACTTAACCTTTGACCATCCACCCAACTGGAGAGGAGAGCTAGAAGAATCAGGAAGAGAAATATTGGAGTCATCTTTTCACTCAAGCAAAGACGAAAAGCTTTGTCACTTTGAGAACAGTCTGCCTGGGAGTGGGTGACTTGTGGAATAGATTTCTTAAAGAGACGAGCCTCTGACTGTGGGTAGGCTTCATCTTGTCTCTTCATCTTCTGTTGGAAATTGACTTTCTTCTTTCCTTGAAGCGTGGAGGAGCAGAAGGCCAGGAGGAGGGATAGGGTTGATATGGAGCAGCACAAGGAACAACACAAGGAAACACAGTGCACAGAACACTGACACCATTCTTATGTTTCTCCCCTCGCATAGGTTATTACTCTGGGACTGTGATGATCGAAGCTATAGCTACTATGTTGAGGTTTCTACCAATCAGCAACAGTGGACCATGGTGGCTGACAGAACCAAAGTATCCTGCAAGTAAGTTTTGTCCTCTTGGGGATTTATTCATGTTTTCTGAAATTTGAAAACGTCTCTCTGGTGGATTCAGAAGGTTCCTGTGAGGATTCAAGAAATCACCAAATTATATGCTAATAATCCTTTACTTCTGTTTTGACTATGAAGTATTGAAATGGAATTGACTTTGGATAAAACCAAAGAACCTTTATCTTGTAGTTTGAACTTGACTTTTAAAAATGGCATTCAGAACATACCCGTGCAGCCCCCATACATCCAAACTCTAAAGAACTTTTTCTTCTGTAGAGAATTTTACTGATTACAATATACAATTTGGCAGTTATTCTGGGATCTTTATCCTGTTTTGTTCTCCTCATTCTCAGGCTCAGCTTTAAATGATAGTCACATCTCTATGGTAGATACACTTTTATCTAAACTGAGGGAAGCTTAGACCCTCCATAGGTAAAGAAACATTTCATGCAATTTAAGTCCTGTTTGAGCTTTCTGAGTGATGGGGAAGCCAAGAGGAAGGTTTTTTGCAGGGTTCAGCCAGCCTAGCATTATACCTAGAATATGTACTGAATTGGTGGAGTTCATGCCCAATTCAATCAGCTAATCTAGTGGCTGAATAAATAGCAGTACTCCTACATTTAAAAAAAATGTACTGTATGTGTATATGTCCCAAATCTAACATTTAGATCCAAATGAGCTTGTTTCCAGCATGCTAGAAAGTTCTCCTCATGCCCTTTCTCAATTCTTATCTGAAAAGTGCCTTAATATTTAGAGTCACATTCTTGGGGGGGAGGGAAAGATAAAGAAAATAACTGAGGTTTCTATTTTTTAAATCGAGGTATGATTCACATATCATAAAATTTACCCTTTTGAATTGTATAATTCATTAAGCTTTAGTATATTTACAGAGCAGTACCGCTATCACTAATATCTAATGATCCAGAACGTTTTCATCACCCTCAAACTAAGCTTCCTAGCTGTTAGCATTCTTCCCATTTCCGTCCCTCTCCCTAGCATCAGCAGTCTGTGTTCTGTTTCTGTGGGTTTTTATATTCTGGAAATTTTCTGTAAGTAGAATCATATAGTAAGTGAACTGTGTTCCTGTCTACTTTTATTTAGCGTGTTTTCTGGATTCATTCAGTTATAGTATGTGTCAGAATTTCCATTATATATGATTGAATAATATCGATTACATGGAGAGAGACAGATAAGTTAAAATATATTTCAGATTTTATTCATTCGCCAGCTTCTGAACATTTGAAGTGTGTACACTACTTATGATGGACATTGTTACTATGAACATTCCTGTGCATATTTCTGTGTAAATCTGTTTCTGATTCTATTGGAATATGTAACAGTGGAATTGCTGAGTCTTACATTAATTCTAAGTTTTAGAGGAACTGCCAAACTTTCCTTGCACCATTTTGCATTTCAGCAGTATGAAGAGCTCCAATTTCTCCACATTCTTGCCAACACTTGTTCTTATCATTTTTTTAGAGTCATCCCAGTAGGAAGTGAAGTGCTATCTCATTGCAGTTTTATTTGCATGGTCGTAATGGATGATGAGCATCTTATTCGTATACTTATTTGACCATGATTTATTAATAACTTTGATGATAGCTTATTGGTGCAGTACCTGACACCCTCAATTACTTGCTGCTATCCTAATTATCATACGGTATGTTTATATTAGCTGGGGTAACATTATTGCAAGGGACTAGCTCCAGCACTTCCTGGCTCAGCACACTAGATTCTTCCCCAGTGATTGGAAGTCGTTGAAGTGTCCTGGCTGTCAGTGCTGCGTCTCGCTGGTTGATAGGAGAACCCAGACATCTTCCTTCCTGTGGTTCTGCTGCCACTCTGGTCCTTACTCATCTGCCGGAAGGCTGCTCAGCTCTCCGAGAGAAGGTTCTGAAGAGCTGAGACCTGGGTAGAAGGAACATCCACTCACCCTTCCGCATTCTCCTGAGGAGCACGGCCACGCCAGCTGTTAGCAGCGCTGGGAGAACCTCGCTCAGTCAGTTCCTAGCTGGGCAGCCACTTCTCAGTGGAACACAAATCCTGTGGCCATTATAGCCATTTCTGCCTTGGCCTGAGAAAATTAGCAATTATTTAGTAACTAGGATTTCATTACATGCACATATTTTATCTCATTTTGTCCTGATTATAAAACATCTTGTGGGATATTGGCCTCATTTTATAAAATAGAAGATGAAGGGCTCTTTCCACTGCACCTCATTACCCGCAAGTATGAAAACATTGCTAAAGAGGGCTGAATTAAGCTGAATGAGGAAAACTGGGAAATGAAATGATTAATTTATGTCCAAGCTACCAGAACCCTTTTTAAACAGTAGAAAGGCCCGTGTTCAAGACCCGTGAACAGCTGCCCATGAACGGCCCAAGAAGTCTCTTTCCAGAGACCTTGCTTAGCTCTGGCAGTCATTGTTTTCCAGAGTGAAAGCCTCACTTTCCCACAGCAAAGGGTCTCCACGCCTCCCCCGTTCCTCCTAACATTGTGGCTATTGTAAATTTCATCTAGCATACCTTTCTCCTATGCCCCCCGTTGAAGGTGTTATACAACGTGAATTTTTTTATTGGGGGTTTTATTTGGTGGGGGTAGGGGACGATTCACCCAGTAGCAGTGCTTGGGGAATGCTGGCTGAGTACTCGCAGGCTGATCTCGCAGTGCTCAGGGGACCATGCAGTGCTCTCGATGAAGCCTGGGCCTGCCTTTTGCAAAGCATGCATTCAGCCCTCTGAGTTATCTCTCTGGCCCCACGCGATGTGAATTTTTAACAAGAATTGGTTGACTAATTACTGACCAGTTCATATCATAATGACTTTGTATGTATTTAAATGTTCCTTTTTCCTGATTCAAACCCCACTTACTCATTAGAACCTCTCCCAGTAGCTTTGTATTAAGTCATCAACATCATTTTTTCCCCTTTTAAAAATTTTCCCTTGGTTTGTGGATTTAAATAATTAATGTTTTTTACTTCATATATTAGCACTTAGATCTACACTACCATTTTACAAATTAATAAATAAATAATAGACTAGCATAACAACAGTAATGCTAGGAAGGCAAATGCCCACTAACCCTCTCGCAGCGATCAGAAGGAGGGATTATGATTTTGTCGTAGGCACAGTCTGAATCTGTCAGGCCTCCCGTTTTTTCAGTTAGGTCTTAATATAATAGAAGAGAGTCGATGATAAGAGGAGAAAGCCTTTCCTTTCAGCACAAATATACTCCAGAGCAGTCCTCAAGAAAGGGCTCCCATAGTTTTAAGAGTTGTAACCTGTTCGTTATTGTAATAAAGTACGTGAGTCATCTCATGAATGACAGTCTGAGGGACCTCCCGGATGGCAGCCCTGTCCCCGGATAGCCTTTCCCTAGCCGGGAAATCAGAGGCAGTGTCCAGGGAATGAGGTGTCCAGTGTCACCCGGGAGTCCCTCTGCTCGTGAACTGGGATATTGTCCTCTATTGCTATCGAGATCTTTCTGTGAGAGCCGGAGCTTCTCTTGTGTTGCTCTCAGGGATAAAGGCTCATTTTCTATCATAGATCATCCTGGGGGGGGCAGTTATTGATTTCCCCCCAGCTTTACCGAGATGATTGAGGCTGGACGATGTGTAAATTTAAGGTGTACAGCATAATGATTTGCTACCTAGATACTTGAGTCGTTAGTAAGTTCAGTCTTAAGCCGTTAGTATTCTTTTTCTTGTGACGAAAGATTTTAAGGTTTATTCTCCTGGCAACACTCAGATGGGCGATAAAGATATGCAATTAACCATGCTGGACATATATCCCTGGTACTTATTCTCTTTTAGTGAAAGTTGGTACCTCTTGTCCACCGTCCCGTCCATCTTTACCCCACTTCCGGTCACCACCAGACGTGCTCTGTCTGTGCTCCGTTTCCTGGGGTTGTTTGTTCCGCCCTTCCCGTCCCTCTGTGGATGCCACAGGGGCGAAGGGCAGCACTCGCTCCCTGCAGGGGTGCTCACGCTCTGACGGGTGCTCCTGGGAGTCAGGCTGCAGTGCTGTGGGGGTGCTCGCGGGGCTGTGCTCTAGCTGTGATGCTCATGCACATGCTGCTGCAGTGCTCGCCCAGTGGCACCTGGCTCTGGCACTCCCACGGGGTCACGTGGGACCCTGTGGTCGCTCTGTCTTCACAGAGGTCACTCACGGGGCTGAGGAACTCCGACGGCAGAGCTGCCAGGCCCCAGTGAGAGCAAAGTCTGGTGAGGGGAAAGTGCATCCTTGCCCTGCTGGGCCCAGCAGCACCACATCCTGGGCCCTCGAGCCGGCTGCTGGCCTGGTTGCCTGGGAGTAGCTGGAAGTGGCCCCGGGGCTCCCTGAACAGCTCTTGAGAGACCATACATTTTGTTTCCTCTCTCATTTTGTAGAAACTCACTGGGCCCTTGATGAGCGAATGTCCTCTTTACCAGTTTGCAATGTATTTATGGATGTGGCTCATACTTCTTTGACATAAGCTCATTCGTTTCCAGAAAGGGAAGAAAGGACAAGTGCCTGTTCTCAGCTGTCCCAGACCCGGTCCCCAAGTCCCACTGACGGGGCTCAGACTCCCCCTCCTCCCCAGAGCCGATTCCTCCCTTCCCTGCAACAGGCTGTGCTCTGCCTGCACTTCCCTTTCTGCCTGCACATACTCCTCCTGGACTGCTTTCACACACATTGAGGTTTGGGTTGTTTTGTTTTGTTTTATTTTTTCTTTTTGGGTCACACCCAGCGTTGTGCAGGGTTACTCCTGGTTCTGCACTCAGGAATTACTCCCGGTGGTGCTCAGGGGACCATATGGGATGCCGGGAATCAAACCCAGGTTGGCTGGGTGCAAGGCAAACGCCCTACCCGCTGTGCTATCACTCCAGCCCCGCTTTCACACACGTTGAGTAGTAAATTATTCTTCACTTTTCACAGACCCATTTACCAGTGACTTTCTCTGTCAAAATGGGAGTGGCTTCAGCCTTCATCAAGACCATGCCCTGAGTAACCAT